CGGGGCGCTCCGGGGCCGGTCAGCGCCTTCCCCGGGCACCCGCGGGTCCCGGCGTCTGCTACCTGTTTGAGGATATTTATTTTTATTGTTTATTTAGGCTCCCAAATGTCTCAAAACTTAGAGGTGAATTTTGTCTCCTGTTCTCTATCGGCTCCCTTCCACTTCTCATTTACTCACACCATAAACATTCAATGGTGGGGGCGGGCGGGACGACTTTCCCTCTGCAGCAGAAACATAACTGCAATCCAGGCTGTTTTCTATCTTGCTTAAAACCCACGACATGCCTGTAACTCTTTATGCCAGTTTTTAACTTGCGGTGCATCTATATAAGCTTACCATGAGGTAAACTTTACCACAAGTTAAGGTGCTGAGGCCTTTCCCAGTGTGTGGGCTCCCAGATCCACCCCAGGGAGCCAGCACTATGGAGCAGGCAGGGGCAGGATCCATTTATTTCAAGACAATATTCAGCAGCTTTTAACAGTTGCGTCATTCTACAGCTTCCTTTTTATTTTGAAAGTTTGGCTCATTAGAAAACCCAGTATCTTGAACAGAAAAGAGACATGTAAAACCATGTAAAATGTGCTTGGAACAAAGTAAAGCTGCCCAAGTAGTAATCATGGCGTTTCAGAGCTATGAAGCTATTGCCTTAGGAAATCAGAAAGTAGAAAATGTTGTAATATCCGTTTTTGCACATTTATGATGTTGTACTCTCTAAAACAAACGGGATGACTGTTTTCTCTTCCTCTTTTAAGCTCACCAAATAAACTCAAAATTTCCACTACAAGTCAATTTACAAGACTGCACATGCACTTTGCTTTTTTTAGTTTGTTCTAGCAATAAGGCAGGTAAACTTGATGGGAATGAGCATGTAAGCAAAGAATACGGGAACTGAAATTATGGGCTTTACAAGGTGTAACATTAGATTTACCTCATTTTTATTACTAGAATGAGAAACACAAAAAGACTCAAATTCTGCCTGAGTAAATTTTAAGGCTAAAACTGTCTTTTTGGTCTGTTCCACCCCAGTCCGCCTGTGCAGGAGCAGCAGGAGGGGCTCCCTCTGCGGGGAGCGCCCACCCGCTCCGGGCTGGCTGCGGACAGTGCGGAGGAAGCTGGTCCTGAAACTCCGTTTCGGGAAGGCAACGTGCTGAGCATCAGGCGTGGTGTTTTGGAACACCAGTGGGATCACCTGACCAGGTTAGTTATGGGTGGAAATAAGGTCTGTGGAGGCTCTTCTGTTTGTTAAGTCAAAGCAAGCACAGTATTTTATGAATAGGACAGTACCTTGATGCCAGATTCTACTCCAGAGGCTTTTCTCAATTCTACCTTAAAAAGCTATATAGTTTAAGACTCTGTAGCATAGCAGCTAAGTGGTCTTGCAGTTTTTTTTTTTTTTTTTAAAGTGTCAGACGCAGGGCTGTAACTGTAGCGAAGGAAGGAAGGTGCCCTGTTTGCGGGAACTCTGGTGTTACTTTCTCCTTCCTTTATTCGGCTGCAACTGACAGATGGGGGTAGGGGGAGCTCCAGCAAGGCCAGGAAATGCACTGTTCATTAAAAATCAGGTTAAAGCAGCACACATGATGGATGAGCAAGAGTCAGCTGCTTCCCTAAAAAGAAAGCAGTGTAAGGTTTTTCACTCCATTTGTCAGAGGCAAAATTCCCACTAGGTTTGTGTTCAAGAAAAGTGTAGAGGCACTTAGGGACATGGTTTACGGGTATGGTGTTGAAGGGCTTATGTTTGGACTCGATCTTGAAGGTTTTTTCAACCATAATGCTTCTATGATTCATTATGAATTTTGAAGGTACAGTTCTGTCTTTCAGCATCGTTGCATCATAACTGCATTCAGACTTGCTACTATTTTGACTTGTTTTAATCGTCTTGTACTTCATCACTACAGTTAACTTTTCCAAAACTTCCATTAACACTATTAGCACCCTGTTATCTTCTCACAAGAGTGAGAAATGGCAGTGAAATATTCCACATACTTTTTGATTTAAGCAGAGACCCATCTTTCTAGACATTAGTTCAGTGCTTGAATTTCCCATAATCACTGTCACATTTCAGGCAGATCCAAAAAAAGTGACTACAGCATTTAACAAAAAAGGTTTATTACCAAAATACAATATTAAAGTCAATACGTGACAAACTCCTGTAAAGCAAAATAAATTATTCTAACATTGTACAGTATTTCAGAAGGTAGTTAAAGTAGTACTACAGACTTTGCTTCATAGTTCCAAACAGTCTTCTATCAGGAACACAATCCTCGAGAGAGCTTAAGGCATGCAGCTTAATGTGCTGGATAATTTTTATAAAATGAAAAAGTCATCCTATTTAATAACATACAGTATCAGAATTAACTGCAGTCTTTCCATGTCAGTTTTCTAAGTTTTTTTTTATACTTTGGCTATAAAAGCAGTGCCATAGTGTTACAATATGTTTTCTTAAAAAAATACATGTACCCATGTCCATGAATATCAAATGCAAATGTAAATTTATATTAAATATATCTTAACAAATGTTACTTTGAGCACCAACTGTACATTTTTTAAATGATTAAATAAGTGCTTCTGAAAGAGGAAAATACAGTAACTCTGACTGAAAACCACTTTATTTTTCCAGGCCAAGTATAAGTCAGAAAGATGAATTGCCCACCTATTTATCAGTATAGTCTAAAATGAATTAAGTCTTCTCTTTAGTAGAAGTATAGGCATTTAAAACCAAAGCTGTGTGTTACAGTTCAAATGCCAAAAAAAAAAAAAAAACTCTTTAAAGCAAACAGCAAGTGAATTCCTGATTGTGACAGAAGATCCTAAAACATTTTAAAACCTTAAAGAAAGGGGAAGACTACAGTGTTGGTAACCTGGAAATGTGCTTGAAAAGCCCTTACATAACATGCAACCAAGCCAACCACACACTTTCTAAAGCTGATATCCTGAGAAAAAACTTATTTTGAAAAACTGAGCCTATGCAGAACTTCTGATAAAATCCATGGGATTTTTTTAATGGGTAACTGACGGCAAGCAATGGGGAGACAGGCAGTTAATCCCTCTGCAGATAGGGAAGAGTATTTGTTGGAATTTGTTAGGACTGGTTAAGAGTTTTCAGAGGGAACTTTCTACTGTACTGTAGTAACACATGCTCAAACTGCAAAAAGCAACAAAAAGGCAAAAAGAAGCTGTGAATAGATGCATCCTGCTCAGTCATCCCATTACAGTAACTCTCGGTGTGTTACACTTAACACTGCAGGTGTGACCTACACACACCAAAACTGTTAATTTTGGGCCAAAGTTATGTGCTTTGTAAGTCTTGGTTCACTGCCATCTTTCTCTCAGCTTATGAGTGCAAGATTTTCACCTATTTTTCCGTTAGCATAGCAACTTAAAAATACACTAGCCTTTTACTGAAAAATAAGAATGTGACAAAATAATGTTTCTATGAACACAGATAGGTAGCCTAACATGACTATGCATCTCTTTGTATCTCAGAATTTTTCAGTAAAAGGGATCTCTGAATGCTGAAGACCAGGTAGATTCCAAATAATTTGCTGTTTTGACATGAATTGAATTGAAAATAAAGTATGTGTCAATAGGACAAGAACAATACCCCATTAAAAGTTATCTCAGTTTCATCTAGAGAAAGAAAATGAATCATATTTTTAAAATGTAAAATCCATGTGTATGACCATTTTAAAAAAAATCTTTTGACTGGGAATTATGTATAACTATTTCACATCTGTGCCAAGTATCTCAAATATCTGACACAAAAGATCCAGTCCAATTTTAAAGTAAAAACTTCATGCAAACTGATTTATAAATGATAGTCAATCCAAAAAATGATAGATACCCAAGTATATATAGCTACTCAGCCAAGTGATAGATATTCAACCCAAAGAAACAAGCTGAAGATG